AATATCCCCCCCCCTTACACTAAATTTGTGTTATCTGAAAGATGAAAGAAAGATTAAGTATCCTGTACGGAAATATCCCCCCCCCATACCGAATTTGTTTTATCTGAAAGATGAAAGAAAGATTAAGTATCCTGTACGGAAATATTCCAGGATTTCTCCTCAAATCTATGACAAGACCCCAACTGGATAGAAAGATACAGGTACATGTGTCAAATTAATGTAATTTTCATTTATATAAAAATATTTTATGTTTTTAATCATAGACCATCTTTATTAAGACCTTTTGAATTCATTAAAAAGTTTTTTGTTTTTAATATACTTAAACTTACGAGGTCACAATTAGGTCATATTTTATACTATTTATCAAAACTTATTGCCAATAATTAGAGGCTCCGGGTTGTCCCAGCCCCAATTCCTCTAAAATATTTCCTATCCAATTTAAACTATTTTGTACAGGGTGTCCCAATAAAAAAAGCAATTGAGGGACGACTTCAAAATCATCCTAGATCTCTCAGAAATAGTTAATGACAGAGTTTACAAAAAACTCAAAATGTTGTCCGTCTACTTCTTTTAAACATTTCGACAATTTGATGGTTTTTGGTAAATTGTAATCTGGACAAATGTCTCCCTATTCCCGTCAATTTTAAAAGCACTTGTAGAACACAATTTGAAATTCCCATAACGAGGTATAACTTCTGAATGTTAATTGTTAATGTTAAATGTTAAAGGGACCGTTCACTTATTTTGGTAATTTCAGGGTAAACTAAACAGCCTATTCGCTCTTGATTGGTAATAGTCTTACTTTTCAAAGACAACTGTGGCCGGAGAAAACCCCAATTTTTCGTTCAGAATTCGAGCGGAATGGGACGGTCCCTCTCTATAGACACTAATTGATGTTTTTTTCAGTAACAGCAGCCCATTTAAATTTATTATATTTTAATATCATTATGTGTTCGTTATTATGTACTAAAATCTGAAAACTTTTGATATTTGAATTAGCAAGAAATTTACGTTTTTCGTATTAAAACATGTAAAATGTGTTTACAAAGACGACGTCTCTACGACAATCAATTAATCATTACTTGTATTTTGGTTCGTAGATTTTGTATATTTTTTTTCCCGTATGTGCACAACTTTTCATTTGTCATGCCGCGTTCAATTCAGATTTTTACACAGGCAATACACAATTTTGAGTGCGATAAATTAGTGTTATTTTAGAAATAGAGAGTTAAAAAACAAAAAAAATTTTAAAATAATGACATTTACAATTAACGATTAGATACTACTGTTTAATTTTATATTCGAAATTTATTGTGATTCACAACATGCTGAAAAAAACATCAATTAGTGTCTATAGAAAGGGACCGTCCCTTTGCGCTCGAATTCTGAACGAAAAATCGACTTTTTCTCCGGCCACAGTTGTCTTTGAAAAGTAAGACTATTACTAATCAAGAGCAAATAGGCTGTTTAGTTTACCCTGAAATTACTCAAATAAGTGAACGGTCCCTTTAATTTCTCCCTATTCCCATTAATTTTAAAGGCACTTGTAGAACACAATTTTTACAATTTTTATTTAACGAGATAAAACTTCTGAATTTTAATTTTATGTTATTTTTATACTACCATCACAGTCAGCCGTAGTACATTTGAATTTCCAAGCCAGGTCATTTTTTCCGGTCTCAGTTTGTACTGTATCGACCGGTCAGTGGTTAAATGAAGCAGACACTCAATAGGACTAGCCGGTGCAGCAAGGTTGACGCGGTCAGACTTTAGGTTGAATTTACTTTTACTGAAGGGTCAGAGGTGCATGCCATAATATTGTTCACAAAATAATGCCGTGTGGAATTAACCAAGACGATATGGAAGTCGTATTTAGCCCTGTACAATCTTTCTGTTATTTACGTGTACAGCTGTACACAATTTACTCCCGTACATTCTCGGTGGATCTCAAGTTTACTCCATTCTCTCTCCTTGGAATATTAGGAAAACTGTTAGACAACTGTTTTATGCAATTTTTGACTCCAAACATTTTTCCATTGCATCTCATATTTTTGCAAAAATATCGCAAAAGTAAATAAATAGTTCAACGATATTTCAAAATGAAATCTTTATATTCAGACTTCACCAGACAAAGCTTTAAGGGCACCTTTGCACAAAAGGTCACTTAAAATTACGTTTACAGTTCCTTTAATAAATTGATTTACAAAATCCTGGTAAAATTTCTTTTATAACTGGAAAACACAGGTTTGCCCGAAGTATTCACCATAAAAGCCAATCCACATTTTATCAAAATATACTTCGGTCTAGATTAACCGTCGTCAGTTCTTATCACATAATAAAATGTTAAAAAACCACAAGAAAATAAACAAACAAACATGCTTTTTCAAATGGAAAATTGAGAACATTTTAAAATAAATTTTATCTAATTAGGTTTGTCTCGAAGTCCTGGATGTTCAGAATAAGTTGTATCCTGGTCATTCAAGTATTAAAATCAAAATTTTAGGTTAAACATTTTAGAGAAGTATTCAAACTATGCTTTAAGCGCCCATCTTCTATTTCAATTGTAAACATTTTCTCTTTGTATACATTGTAAAACAAAACAAAAACAATAAAGTTTGCGAATTTTCTAATAAAAATTAGTGGATTTTCAAAATGAAATGTAAATCGAATTTTGTTGGAGGCAAATTTTTGAAATTTCGATCATCCATAAACCTTCTCTGGGATCACGTGATGTCACTCACAAAATTTGGGCCCGATCGGTTCAGCCGTATTGACGTTCATTGGATAAAAATAAAGTTATGAGAATTATTGTAATTGTAACATTAGCAAGGTCGGATTATTTAAACCAAAGCCATTATAGCATGGCACAATTATAGAAGATATTTATTTAAAAAGACAAGTATTTCTGTTTATTTATTATTGTAAATATATTATGACCAGATTTTATTTGATGAGTAATTGAATATACGACAAAATGAATAATCTTAACTTATACATTTAGGAGAACTGAACAAGACAAGATTGTGCACTGTAAAAAGAGACGTAGATCACGGAATTCTCTTAAGGAACGATTTACTTCAGATTGTTTTTGGTTTAATATGGAATATTGTTGTCTAAGGGAATATTTGAAATGTTAGAAATATTATAAACCTTCTCATTGTCCATTATTTTCTGAATTTAAATGTTTTGACGTTTAGAGTTTGTTACGAGAACATTCTTAGGAGTGAAGAAGACCTGAAGAAATATTTACAATTGTACAAAACCAAATTTTTTAATAAATAAAACGAATTCTTCAGTTGAATAAAAAATAGCGTTTAATAATTTTTAATAATTTACATAACATATGAAATCAAAATATATAATATATGCAATATCCAATTACAAAACATATATCAACTACAAAAAAATATGTTATATTAAATGTTACAAATATGCATATTCTCTAGTCTAAAGAATAGTAAGTCAAATAAAAAGTATGAAAAAATTGCATTGTACACACAAGACTTCTATTTAATGGTATAACATGTATGTCACTATTCTCAAATTTAAGCTATATATGGGAGCCAGCGCGGCGGAAACAAGCAAACTTTTAAAACACTAATTCATTTTTTTCACAACGATGTCCATCCCTAATTACCCAACCCCAACCCTAAAACGATGTCCATCCCTAATTACCCAACCCCAACCCTAAAACGATGTCCCCCAACCCCAAAAACGGTGCCCATCCCTCATTGTCCTTTGTATTTTAATCTATATTATCCTTGGTTGTCGTTTTCCGACAGTTTTAGCCGCAAAGAATAGGACTCTACGGAACTTATATTCATATCACATGTTTAAACTATCTTTTAAATAAGTATGAAACACAGGAATTGGGTCTTTTCAAATTTTCAATCCTTATATTTTTTCAATCTGATGGTGTAAACCTTTTAAATTTGAAACTTAGACTTTTTAATTTGATTAGAAAATGAGAGTTTGAATTTTCCAAGATGGGCATCTTATTATCCAAAAACCTAGGAAGCAAGCATTGGATTTAAAAACAATTCTGTGCCACATAAATGTGTCTCCACAATAAACAATACAATATTTTTTGTGCGTGTATACTGTATTCTTTGATAGCAGAATTCTAAAACTATTTTTGTTTTTTCAAAAACTCGCCTTTTTTTGAAGGTTTAGACATATAAGTGACGATATGAGTAAATAAAAGATTAAATTGTTAAATGGAATTTTTATTAAAAGCTTACATAATGATGCATTCAATTTAAATCCACTTGTGTTCCGATGATTGCTAGTTTGCAGCTTGCAATTGTAAATTGTAACTTAACCCTAAAAGTCTGGGGCCTTATGTTTTAGAACCTAAATTTGAAAAGTTGAAAAAATATTAAAAATCCAATAATTTTCCTGATCTGTAAGACAGGAACCTATTTGACAGCTTTAAACTTGTTTTAAAAATATGAAAGTCATAGACAATTGAAAATAGAGATTTGCTGAAAAAAGATTTCTTAACTTCAATGCTTAAAATATTATAATGTTTATATTGAAAATGGATAAATGATTTAAAATCAATTTCTAATTAACAAATTAAAGGGGTGTATAAAGGGCAATATTTTAAGTGCCCTACGGCCAACAAACAATTAAAACCAAGGAACGAGTTTAAATTTTCTCTGATTTAGTGATTAAGCTCATACATTTTTTTACGATAATAAAATAATTGACGATCAAAAATTTTGTACAAGTAAATTTCAATATTTAAAAAACGGGTTTATAATGACGTTACTCAATTGACACCCTGTTTGATTGATCATTCTTGCAATGAGAGTCACACCAATAAATAGATTTAGGATTAGAGTTAAACAGGTTTAGAAATGCAATAGAATAGGTTTCAGATTAGAGTAGAATAGGTTTAGCATCAGAGTAGAATAGGTTTAAGATTAGAGTAAAATAGGTCTAAGATTAGAGTAGAATAGGTTTAAGATTAAAGTAGAATAGGTTTAGGATTAGACTAGAATAGGTTTAGGATTAGACTAGAATAGGTTTAGGATTAGAGTAAAATAGCTTAAGGATTAGAGAAAAATGGATTTGGGATTAGGGTAAAATAGGTTTAGGTTTAGAGAAGAATAGGTTTAGGTTTAAAGTAGAATAAATTTAGGATTAGAGTAGACTAGGTTTAGGATTAGAGTAGAATAGGTTTAGGATTAGAGTAGAATAGGTTTAGGATTAAAGTAGAATATGTTAAGGATTAGAGTAGAATATGTTTAGGATTAGAGTAGATAGGTTTAGGAATAGAGTGGAATAGGTTTAGGATTGAAATATAATAGGTTTAAGATAAGAGTAAAATAGGTTTAAGATTAGAGTAGAATAGGATTAAGATAAAAGTAGAATAGGTTTAGGATTAGACTAGGATTGAAATATAATAGGTTTAAGATTAGAGTAGAAAAGATTTAGGATAAGAGTAAAATAGATTTAAGAGTAGAGTAGAATAGGTTTAGGATTAGTGTAAAATAGGCTTAGGATTAGAGTAGAATAGCTTTTAGATTAAAGTAGAATATGTCTAGGATTAGAGTAAAATAGGTTTAAGATTAGAGCAGAATAGGTTTAGGATTAGAGTAGAATAGGTTTATGAATAGGATAGAATAGGTTTATGTTTAGAGTAAAATAGGATTAGGATTAGAGGAGAATAAGTTTAGAAAAAGAGTAGAATAGGTTTAGGATTAAAGTATAATAGGTTTAATATTAGAGTAGAATAGGTTTAGGATAAGCGTAGAATAGGGTAGAATATGTTCAGTAATAGAGTAGAATATGTTTAGGATTCGAGTATATTAGGTTTATTATTAGGGTAGAATAGGTTTAGGATTGAGTAGAATAAATTTAAGAGTAGAGTAAAATAGGCTTAGTAATAGAGTGGAATAGCGATTAGAGTAAAATAGGCATAGTAATAGAGTGGAATAGCGATTAGAGTAAAATAGGTATAGGATAAGAGTAGAATAGGTCTAGGATTAGAGTAAAATATATTTAGGATTAGAGTAGAATAGGTTTAGGATTAGAGTAGAATAGGTTTAGGATTAGAATATAGGTTTAGAGTAGAATAGGTTTAGGTTTAGAGTAGAATAGGTTTAGGATTAGAGTAGAATAGGTTTAGGATTAGAATAGAATAGGTTTAGGATTAGAGTAGGATTAGAATATAGGTTTAGAGTAGAATAGGTTTAGGTTTAGAGTAGAATAGGTTTAGGATTAGAGTAGAATAGGTTTAGGAATAGAGTAGAACATGAATGAATGAAAAAGGGTCGAATAAAGACTAAATCTACGACGTAATATCAACCCTGACAAAACACTTGTATCTTCATTTCTCCTTGATGTATTTAAACCAATGTAAACTTTTCAAATCTCACGTATACTGAACATAGGCCTTTACCAGCCCTTTATACTCTATGCTGTCATATTGATTTGATTTAAGCTCCTCTAGCCGGCGCAGTGCAGTATCCAGGCTCTTAATCCTATACAGTACACAGAGAGAGAAGGGTATATAAACAGGAGAGGAGGATAATCATTCAGAATAAGAAGATCATTGTAACAGTTCATAGGCAAAGCTAACTATATAGCACTAGAAAACCCAAGAATATCAAACAAGGTAAAAATATGTTAAATATATTTCTAGTTTGATAGAACTTTCAAAATGTGGACTGCCCATTTTAATTTAATATTAACAGAGATGATAAAATTTTGTCAAAAGTTTGTTTTTTTTCAGAATTAAATCTCAATTGTTTACTTACAATATAATACAAATACTTTACTTACTTTTACCTTTTGAAAGAATAATAGTTATAACTTAATCTTGAGACGTATATTTTTCAGTTTAAAGGGACTGTATACCCAATTTTAAGCTACTCTTCCTTTAAAGAGTGGCATTTATGATTCACAAACGAACCTTCAACCTTTTTTTTTTGATTTTTTTTGGGGAGGGAGGAATTTGTTTTTTTTGTTTTTAAAAGTTGTTGATTTTTGCCTTTTTCTTTCATTTTTTTTGTTTTGCTTAATTTTGCAATATTTTTTTTTTATTTTTTTAAGAGGCATCGTTGTCAATCGTGTATTCAACTCTAATAGTTTAAAGCCGCTAGAAATTACGTTTACAGTCGATATCATTCAGTGTCCATAAATCGTTAAGTCGTTATCAGGTTTATCAGTATTGTTTAAGATTGATATTTCTAGGCTAAATTGCAAGATGTCTGCCGCTCTACAATTTTCTGCCGGTAAACTGATGGCCGCCTACGGGGCTCTTACCGCTGCGGCGGTTCTTCCAGGTTCATTTTTATCAAAAATTTATATAAAAAAGTTTCATTTTTTGTTCAGTTCGTATAACTTTTATTTTTTTTAGTCAATTTTATTATTAATAAACTTCGAAGTTAAACTAAAAATGTTGACACAAGAAACTAAAAAATTTCAGTAAACAACTAGTGAGTCCAACAAACAAAATAGTTTCGCGTAAATATAATTTAATCCAAATATTTTTAGGTTACATGCAAATGCAGGGAATCAAGGACAGACAAGAATCGGCGATATCGTCTGGACGGCCGGCAATCGTGGGTAACTTCAAACACCATATGCCGACACAGAACCAAATCAAGGGATTTAGAAGTCGCGAATAATATTAAAATATTGAAGAATTCAACCAAAAATTACAACAATGCATTGTCAATCTATTTTTGAACTTTTGTATTGATTAATTTGTAACTTGTGATTCAAAGACATTTAAGATTTCAATTTGATGTAAAATTTACTTTAATTTGACGTGCAACATTATCTCTATTTATATAAAAAGTATTATTTATGTTTCAATTGTATAATAAAATGTGTTCAGAGATATCTTTGTTTATTTTCTTAAATAACCTAAAAAAAGACAAAAATAAAAATAGCAAATAAAATAATAATAATAATAATAAATTGCCCGGGGAATTTTTTAAATCGAATTTTGAAAAAAAACATTCTTGAAAAGAAAAATATTTAAACTTATTTTAAATCAATGTAACTCTCTGTGCACCGGAGAAAGGTTCTGAGCACCCATGGGTTCCTTTAATAATGTAAGCACATTCGGTCTCGCACCGTTTTGCAAGCTATAGATAACATACAAATAAATATATATGAGTGAAGAGCTTTATCTATATTTGATAATAATAATAATAATAATTGCAATGATAATAATAAGCATAATAATAATAATGATGATAATAATAATAATTATAATAGTAAAAATAATAATAATAATAAAAATAATAATAATAATAATAATAATAATAATAATAATA